GTGTCTCTCTGCCTCTGGTGTCTCTCTGTCTCTGGTGTCTGTCTGTCTCTGGTGTCTGCTCTGCCTCTGGTGTCTCTCTGTCTCTGGTGTCTGTCTGTCTCTGGTGTCTCTCTGTCTCTGGTGTCTCTCTGCCTCTGGTGTCTCTGTCTCTGGTGTCTCTCTGCCTCTGGTGTCTCTGTCTCTGGTGTCTCTGTCTCTGGTGTCTCTCTGCCTCTGGTGTCTCTGTCTCTGGTGTCTCTCTGCCTCTGGTGTCTCTCTGCCTCTGGTGTCTCTCTGCCTCTGGTGTCTCTCTGCCTCTGGTGTCTCTGTCTCTGGTGTCTGTCTGTCTCTGGTGTCTCTCTGTCTCTGGTGTCTCTGCCTCTGGTGTCTCTCTGCCTCTGGTGTCTCTGTCTCTGGTGTCTCTCTGCCTCTGGTGTCTCTCTGCCTCTGGTGTCTCTCTGCCTCTGGTGTCTCTGTCTCTGGTGTCTCTCTGTCTCTGGTGTCTCTCTGCCTCTGGTGTCTCTCTGCCTCTGGTGTCTCTGTCTCTGGTGTCTCTCTGCCTCTGGTGTCTCTGTCTCTGGTGTCTCTCTGTCTCTGGTGTCTCTCTGCCTCTGGTGTCTCTCTGCCTCTGGTGTCTCTGTCTCTGGTGTCTCTCTGTCTCTGGTGTCTCTCTGCCTCTGGTGTCTCTCTGCCTCTGGTGTCTGTCTGTCTCTGGTGTCTCTCTGCCTCTGGTGTCTGTCTGCCTCTGGTGTCTCTCTGTCTCTGGTGTCTGTCTGTCTCTGGTGTCTGTCTGTCTCTGGTGTCTCTCTGCCTCTGGTGTCTGTCTGTCTCTGGTATCTGTCTGTCTCTGGTGTCTCTCTGTCTCTGGTGTCTCTCTGCCTCTGGTGTCTCTCTGTCTCTGGTGTCTGTCTGTCTCTGGTGTCTCTCTGCCTCTGGTGTCTCTCTGTCTCTGGTGTCTGTCTGTCTCTGGTGTCTCTCTGTCTCTGGTGTCTCTCTGCCTCTGGTGTCTCTGTCTCTGGTGTCTCTCTGTCTCTGGTGTCTCTCTGCCTCTGGTGTCTCTGTCTCTGGTGTCTCTCTGTCTCTGGTGTCTCTCTGCCTCTGGTGTCTCTGTCTCTGGTGTCTCTGTCTCTGGTGTCTCTCTGCCTCTGGTGTCTCTGTCTCTGGTGTCTGTCTGTCTCTGGTGTCTCTCTGCCTCTGGTGTCTCTCTGCCTCTGGTGTCTCTCTGCCTCTGGTGTCTCTGTCTCTGGTGTCTGTCTGTCTCTGGTGTCTCTCTGTCTCTGGTGTCTCTCTGCCTCTGGTGTCTCTCTGCCTCTGGTGTCTCTGTCTCTGGTGTCTCTCTGCCTCTGGTGTCTCTCTGCCTCTGGTGTCTCTCTGCCTCTGGTGTCTCTGTCTCTGGTGTCTCTCTGCCTCTGGTGTCTCTCTGCCTCTGGTGTCTCTCTGCCTCTGGTGTCTCTCTGCCTCTGGTGTCTCTCTGCCTCTGGTGTCTCTGTCTCTGGTGTCTGTCTGTCTCTGGTGTCTCTCTGTCTCTGGTGTCTCTCTGCCTCTGGTGTCTCTCTGCCTCTGGTGTCTCTGTCTCTGGTGTCTCTCTGTCTCTGGTGTCTCTCTGCCTCTGGTGTCTCTCTGCCTCTGGTGTCTCTGTCTCTGGTGTCTCTCTGCCTCTGGTGTCTCTGTCTCTGGTGTCTCTCTGTCTCTGGTGTCTCTCTGACTCTGGTGTCTCTCTGCCTCTGGTGTCTCTGTCTCTGGTGTCTCTCTGTCTCTGGTGTCTCTCTGCCTCTGGTGTCTCTCTGCCTCTGGTGTCTGTCTGTCTCTGGTGTCTCTCTGCCTCTGGTGTCTGTCTGCCTCTGGTGTCTCTCTGTCTCTGGTGTCTGTCTGTCTCTGGTGTCTGTCTGTCTCTGGTGTCTGTCTGTCTCTGGTGTCTGTCTGTCTCTGGTATCTGTCTGTCTCTGGTGTCTCTCTGTCTCTGGTGTCTGTCTGTCTCTGGTGTCTCTCTGCCTCTGGTGTCTCTCTGTCTCTGGTGTCTGTCTGTCTCTGGTGTCTCTCTGTCTCTGGTGTCTCTCTGCCTCTGGTGTCTCTCTGCCTCTGGTGTCTCTGTCTCTGTCTCTGGTGTCTCTCTGCCTCTGGTGTCTCTCTGCCTCTGGTGTCTCTCTGCCTCTGGTGTCTCTCTGCCTCTGGTGTCTGTCTGCCTCTGGTGTCTCTCTGCCTCTGGTGTCTCTCTGCCTCTGGTGTCTCTCTGTCTCTGGTGTCTCTCTGCCTCTGGTGTCTCTCTGCCTCTGGTGTCTCTCTGCCTCTGGTGTCTCTCTGCCTCTGGTGTCTCTCTGTCTCTGGTGTCTCTCTGCCTCTGGTGTCTCTCTGCCTCTGGTGTCTCTGTCTCTGGTGTCTCTGTCTCTGGTGTCTCTCTGCCTCTGGTGTCTCTCTGCCTCTGGTGTCTCTCTGCCTCTGGTGTCTCTCTGCCTCTGGTGTCTCTCTGCCTCTGGTGTCTGTCTGCTTCTGGTGTCTCTCTGTCTCTGGTGTCTGTCTGTCTCTGGTGTCTGTCTGCCTCTTGTGTCTCTGCCTCTGGTGTCTCTGTCTCTGGTGTCTGTCTGTCTCTGGTGTCTCTCTGTCTCTGGTGTCTCTCTGCCTCTGGTGTCTCTGTCTCTGGTGTCTCTCTGTCTCTGGTGTCTCTCTGCCTCTGGTGTCTCTCTGCCTCTGGTGTCTCTCTGCCTCTGGTGTCTCTCTGCCTCTGGTGTCTCTGTCTCTGGTGTCTGTCTGTCTCTGGTGTCTCTCTGTCTCTGGTGTCTCTCTGCCTCTGGTGTCTCTCTGCCTCTGGTGTCTGTCTGTCTCTGGTGTCTCTCTGCCTCTGGTGTCTGTCTGTCTCTGGTGTCTCTCTGCCTCTGGTGTCTCTGTCTCTGGTGTCTCTCTGCCTCTGGTGTCTCTGTCTCTGGTGTCTCTCTGCCTCTGGTGTCTGTCTGTCTCTGGTGTCTCTCTGCCTCTGGTGTCTCTGTCTCTGGTGTCTCTGTCTCTGGTGTCTCTCTGCCTCTGGTGTCTCTGTCTCTGGTGTCTCTCTGCCTCTGGTGTCTGTCTGTCTCTGGTGTCTCTCTGCCTCTGGTGTCTCTGTCTCTGGTGTCTCTCTGCCTCTGGTGTCTCTGTCTCTGGTGTCTCTCTGCCTCTGGTGTCTCTCTGCTTCTGGTGTCTCTCTGCCTCTGGTGTCTCTCTGCCTCTGGTGTCTCTCTGCCTCTGGTGTCTCTCTGCCTCTGGTGTCTCTCTGCCTCTGGTGTCTCTCTGTCTCTGGTGTCTCTCTGCCTCTGGTGTCTCTCTGCCTCTGGTGTCTCTGTCTCTGGTGTCTCTCTGCCTCTGGTGTCTCTCTGCCTCTGGTGTCTCTGTCTCTGGTGTCTCTGTTTCTGGTGTCTCTCTGCCTCTGGTGTCTCTGTCTCTGGTGTCTCTGTCTCTGGTGTCTCTCTGTCTCTGGTGTCTGTCTGTCTCTGGTGTCTGTCTGTCTCTGGTGTCTCCCTGCCTCTGGTGTCTGTCTGTCTCTGGTATCTGTCTGTCTCTGGTGTCTCTCTGTCTCTGGTGTCTGTCTGTCTCTGGTGTCTCTCTGCCTCTGGTGTCTCTCTGTCTCTGGTGTCTGTCTGTCTCTGGTGTCTCTCTGTCTCTGGTGTCTCTCTGCCTCTGGTGTCTCTCTGCCTCTGGTGTCTCTGTCTCTGGTGTCTCTGTCTCTGGTGTCTCTCTGCCTCTGGTGTCTCTCTGCCTCTGGTGTCTCTCTGCCTCTGGTGTCTCTCTGCCTCTGGTGTCTGTCTGCCTCTGGTGTCTCTCTGCCTCTGGTGTCTGTCTGTCTCTGGTGTCTCTCTGCCTCTGGTGTCTCTGTCTCTGGTGCCTCTCTGCCTCTGGTGTCTCTGTCTCTGGTGTCTCTCTGCCTCTGGTGTCTCTCTGCTTCTGGTGTCTCTCTGCCTCTGGTGTCTCTCTGCCTCTGGTGTCTCTCTGCCTCTGGTGTCTCTCTGCCTCTGGTGTCTCTCTGCCTCTGGTGTCTCTCTGCCTCTGGTGTCTCTCTGTCTCTGGTGTCTCTCTGCCTCTGGTGTCTCTCTGCCTCTGGTGTCTCTGTCTCTGGTGTCTCTCTGCCTCTGGTGTCTCTCTGCCTCTGGTGTCTCTGTCTCTGGTGTCTCTGTTTCTGGTGTCTCTCTGCCTCTGGTGTCTCTGTCTCTGGTGTCTCTCTGTCTCTGGTGTCTGTCTGTCTCTGGTGTCTGTCTGTCTCTGGTGTCTCCCTGCCTCTGGTGTCTGTCTGTCTCTGGTATCTGTCTGTCTCTGGTGTCTCTCTGTCTCTGGTGTCTGTCTGTCTCTGGTGTCTCTCTGCCTCTGGTGTCTCTCTGTCTCTGGTGTCTGTCTGTCTCTGGTGTCTCTCTGTCTCTGGTGTCTCTCTGCCTCTGGTGTCTCTCTGCCTCTGGTGTCTCTGTCTCTGGTGTCTCTGTCTCTGGTGTCTCTCTGCCTCTGGTGTCTCTCTGCCTCTGGTGTCTCTCTGCCTCTGGTGTCTCTCTGCCTCTGGTGTCTGTCTGCCTCTGGTGTCTCTCTGCCTCTGGTGTCTCTCTGCCTCTGGTGTCTCTCTGCCTCTGGTGTCTGTCTGCCTCTGGTGTCTCTCTGTCTCTGGTGTCTCTCTGCCTCTGGTGTCTCTCTGCCTCTGGTGTCTCTCTGCCTCTGGTGTCTCTCTGCCTCTGGTGTCTCTCTGTCTCTGGTGTCTCTCTGCCTCTGGTGTCTCTCTGCCTCTGGTGTCTCTGCCTCTGGTGTCTCTGTCTCTGGTGTCTCTGTCTCTGGTGTCTCTCTGCCTCTGGTGTCTCTCTGCCTCTGGTGTCTCTCTGCCTCTGGTGTCTCTCTGCCTCTGGTGTCTCTCTGCCTCTGGTGTCTGTCTGCTTCTGGTGTCTCTCTGTCTCTGGTGTCTGTCTGTCTCTGGTGTCTGTCTGCCTCTTGTGTCTCTGCCTCTGGTGTCTCTGTCTCTGGTGTCTGTCTGTCTCTGGTGTCTCTCTGTCTCTGGTGTCTCTCTGCCTCTGGTGTCTCTG